ATGGGCAGGAGAGACCTGTAAGATTATTGTTGCATGTGTGCAACAATAATCTTACAGGTGGTCCCATGAGACTATAGTCGTCCCGGTTAAAGATTCCACAACCTTTCAGATTGAAGTCACCCCTTAAACATTGAGTTATTGAGTCTCAAATAATAAATATTAAAAAATATAAACAGATAGTATATTACACAAATTATAGTGAGTCAGTGTTATTTTGTTTGAGAGTGCTGGAGAAAAGTAAGTACATTATTTTTTATTAAATTTTAGTTTTGTACTCGTAGTTAGCAAAGATAGATAAATTACGCCAAGCATGACTGTAGGTATTAGTAGTTTAATATTCAATCATGCAAAATTACACGAGTACTCCTCAATAGTTTCTTTTTGAAAGTTTTAGCAATTGGTATTATAATTACAGTGCAATTTCCGTAATTCGAGTTAATTGTTGCAAGAAGATGTTCGAATTATGGAATGTTTTTTTGGAAAAATCAAAAAATATTTTTAATAAAACTGCTGGATTTTCTGTCTTATTTAAATAATTTAATTTTGACTAATGCCATGTCCGCATCTAAAAAGAAATGTAGACAGTACAGTGTTGATTATTTGAAATTTGGCTTCATTCCATCATTGCCGGACAAACAATTGCCTATGTGCCTTTTATGCAACAAAGTTTTGGGCAATGACGCTATGAAACCATCTAAACTGCAGGATCGTCTGAGTTGATGCCACCCCGATAAAACAGAGAAAGATTTGAAATACTTTCAAACACTCAAAGATAAACTTCAGAAGAGACCTACACTGGACAGAATGTTCGCTTCGACGTCACAAAGAAATGATGATGGTTTGCGGGCGTCTTACAATATCTCGTTACTTATAGCAAAATCCGGAAAACCGCATACTATCGGAGAAAAGTTAATTTTGCCAGCCGTTGAAGAGGTTTTAAAAACTGTTTTACACAAACCTGCATCTGATATCATTAAAAGAATTCCCTTAAGCAACAATACTGTTGAAAGACGTATTGATGAAATGAGTTCTGACATTGAAAACTTCTTATGTAATTATTTGCAAACTACCCATTTCTCTATATAACTGGACGAGTCCACTTTACCTGATAATGCAGCATTATTATTGGCATATGTTCGTTTTATTATGAATTAAGAAATCTACGAAGAACTGCTCTTCGTAAGAACTTTGATAACCGACACTAATATAATAGGTGAATCAATATTTCATGTTTTGAAGAATTACTTCATTGAAAAACCAATTCCTTTATCAAATATAATATCAGTAGCTATAGATGGAGCACCTGCCATGGTTGGACGTTATCGTAGATTTATAAGATATTTAAAACAAAATGTGTCAGGGGTGTTAGCAATACATTGCGTCATCCATCGACAACATTTAGTTGCTAAAAATTTGAGTGTTAGATTGCATGAGTCATTTCATTTAGTCATTGATGCAGTAAACCGAATCCGAAGCAACGCGTTGAATACGCGGTTATTTGCGCAGTTGTGTGAAGAAAATGACGAACACTTTCATCAATTACTCCTTCACACAGTACGCTGGCTGTCAAAAGGCTTATATTTGACAAGATTTTTTGCACTTTTTGAGACTATTTTAGAATTTCTGGATACTAAAGGTAAAATTTTAAAAGAAAATTTAATGAAGAGGAAAACAGACATCGCCTATTTAACAGATTTGTTTACAAAATTTAATATGGTTAATTTGCAATAACAAGGCGACAGTTTAAATTGGATTAAAACTAAGTCTATCTTATCAGCGTTTCTTGCCAGAGTTAAACTAATAAAGCAAAATATTGGACGGGGCGAATTTTCTCAGTTCCCCAATTTGTCACAGAAAAGCTGCCAGGAAGACGACGTTTCAACTTACGTTCAACATTGAAATGCCCTCTATTCAGATTTTGAATGTAAGTTTGAGGATATTTTGTCTATGGTAATACCACCGTGGATAATTAATCCATATGGTGACATAGAAGAAACGAATGTCATAATACGAGAGGAACTGACTGAACTAAGTACAAACGAAGAACTTAAGGTTCAGTTTAAAAACGGATAACAGCAATTCTGGCTGCAAAACAACATACCCGTTACTTATCCCGTATTATGAAATAGAGTGAGGAAATTTTTAATTTCCTTTCCATCGTCATATCTAGTGGAAAGGGGGTTAACAGACTGGACATCACTAGCCGAGGAGATTTAACCCTTACAAAATTGACGCCAAATGTTGATAATTTATTATTAAAGCATCAGGTTCATCCTTCTGCCCCCCCGAACGGGTTCCCGCCTTGTCGTGGCGGGGGGCTTAGTAGCCGTGGCTTGGTCTCCCACGGTGAACAAAGAGGAACCCACGTGGCTGGCCCGAGGTGAAGGGCCGGCCTGAGGTAGGCCACTCCGAGTGGGCTTGGGGAGCCCACTTCGGATGTGTGTCGGTGGACTGCAGCGAGTGGGGACTCCGCACCCTCTACCACTGCAGCCGAGGTGGAGTCGCGGAGGAAGAGGAGTGTTGGTATGGCGATGCGCCACTCGCCCTATCCTCCGCGACTCAAACGGGGCCGCACCGTTGATGCGGTGGTGATGGGGCTGCGGGGGGAGAGGATTGTCGGTATTGCGAGGCGCCGCTCTCCCTATCCTCCGCAGCCGAATCTTGGTTGGCGGCGGAGCCATAGACCAGATCCGCCGCTGGGGTCGGGAAGGCTAGTACTTCTAAGTGCTCGTTTTTCCTGGCCCCATGGCCTTTGCGCATCGGACGCGGGGGGCGTCTGTTGCGCAGATGCAATTGGAGGCCGTGGAGTAAGGCGTGCCATGTGTTCTGGTGCGCCTTACTTGGGAAGGAGAACGGGGAGGAATATTCCTCTCCAGAGGAGGTGCTGCCATGGGGCGGCAGTCGCTGGTAGGGCCGCGGAAGTGTGCGAAAGCGTTCCCGTAGCCCTGCCAATATGCGACGAAGGTGGAACACCATGGGGTTTTAGTCGGTGCGAGTCCGACATAACCCGTCCTTGCCCCCCGCGAGGCGGATATGCGTAGGCATTTCCCCATGTTAGAAAAAAAAAAAAAGGTTCATCCTTCTCACTTAAAATATTGACTTATTGCTTATGTTATTTTATTTATAGTTTATTTTATGTTTATTTAATACTACGTATATTTTACATAATAGATACAAAATTTTATTTTGAGTAGTTTTAATTTAAATTCAATTAATAAATGTATAAATTAACATGTGTTTTTACTTTAAGTTTTTAACACCAAACTTCACACTACAGTTAGAAATTTACAGGAAATCAATATCAGGTAAGTAGGGGGTCTACACAACACGGAAAAACATGGCAAGGGGTCTACGACACAAAAAAGTTTGGGGAACTTTGGTCTATACTATATTTTAGGTAAGTATAATGTTTTAAAATAAACTTATCAAACTTAGTAAAGTTACAATTCAAAGGTTTGCATTACGAAATATGTTAATTCTTTAGCAAAGCTTGTTAAATATTCTAAAGATAATATACATAATATTAGGAATACAAATAACACAATACTCATGATCATAAAATTATTTATTCCTTGTTTTGTTTGAAATCATTACATTTTCATTCTTCATGCTTCATCATTTTCAATTAAAATTAAATCTTTGTGACTTTAGAGTAGACATCAAAATTATTAACAGTTTAGCAATATAATAAACAAAAGGTAAAAGAAAATATAAGTTAATGTAAATCTACTTAATCTTAAAACTAAACAAAACAAAACAAATTAAAATGTAAATAAAAACATAAGTAATTAATATAATATTTCTATAGTTAGCACACTGTCTATATAAATTTTAATTTACAATTACTATTTTACAATGACACTATTACATTAATTATTTACAGTAGTCTCTAGTCGCCACAGTAATGTATTAGTAACATTTAATGTATTGTACATTATTAAAGGAAGGACATGAAATAATAATTTAAACATTTATGTTAATAATGTAAAAAAGAGAGAAAAAATGGTAAGTATGTAGCAAAAAAGAACTTATCATCTATATAAAGTCTACGAAATTAATTAAAAATATAAAGTCGATATTACACTTCACTTCTTATATCTATGGGATATCACAACTAAATTAGCGTTGACAAGTAAAATTTGTAAAATGGAAAGAAGACTGCAAAATTAAAATAGGATAATAAGAAAGTGGTCCTTATAGCTACACTAAATCTAATATGTAAAATTAACAACGTGCAGAGATGTTATAACAGATATAGAATAAAACAGTTTGGGCATGAAATAAAGATAATAGAAAAAATGTAAAATTGATATAAATCAATATATTCTTAACTATTAAGGTGAACGACAATTTAATTTTTTTTGAGCTAGTGCTTAGTTTAGCTACCCACTACACGTAAAACAAACTCATCACGAAATGGCGAAAAGGGATACGTTTTACAAAAAAAAATCACTATTAAAAAACTGCTTACCTAAAAATTTGAAATTTTACCCACAGTAAGGGCATGAGTTTGTCCTCTATATACAAAAAATTAAGATGGGTCGTTACTCAAAAATGAAAGTTATTAGAGTACAAACTTCCAAGACGTGGGACACTAGTTGAAAAAAGTGTGGTTATTCCGAGGATATACACTTCCGGCTGATGATGCATATATTTTTGGAAAGAGCTTTCCAAGACGCTGCAAGTGACATCTTCTATTCCAGCCGCAAACTCCTGGTTCGTGAAACCACCAACTTCATGAGTTTCGTTTTTCCTCTAATAACTCAGGTGTCCTTTATCCAAAAATTCCAAATTTTTGGAGGATGATGTGTCCCAAGGTGGCCCACAAAATCACAAAAAAATAGCAGGTTGTGGCGACTAATCGAGCGCCGCAAGCGATTTACTGTTTTGCTTATATGAGAAAAAACGGTTTTTCACTTAGAATATTACTAAAAATTGTTTTGCGGCTAAAAAAAATTACACCACTAGATGCGTCTCGTTAATACGCAAATTTTGACACTATGTTAGTAGTTAGTGGTTCCATCTGTTGGAAGCTGAAACCAACTACTAACAACATATTTCCTTATTACACATCTGTACGAACCAGGTGGCTCTTTATTGTGGTCCCACTCGTTTCGAACAGATGGCGCTTTACTGACAACTGTAATGTAAGTACCTGATGTCCTTCTGTGGATCTTCGGAGCAACCCCATATTTGTTGCGGACAGGGACGGGGAAATTACGAAAAACGGCATTTACCAAGAACTTCGTCTGTGTCGATGTTGATCGACATAACCTACCAATAGGCCACGCGGTGGCCACAAACAACCAACATTCACCAGTGACATCGAAGAATAAAATAAGTAGCTTTGCCTATCTAAGTATTGAGCTTTTTTATACCTGTATAGTACTGATTATCTCAAAACCAAAGTTCTTTTGTACTACAATGTATGAGCCAGTAGTCGATTTGAAGGAATTAGTTAAAAAACGGGGGATTATCAAGGGGAAATTAACCCTTTTTGTCAAATATCTTAATGCGCTTGAGGGCCCTCTTTCTGCTGAAAAATACATCGACTTACAGTTACGATATTCTAAGATAACTAAAATACTTGTTGATTATGAAAATATCCAAGATTTATTAGAAACTGCTTGCACGGATTATGAAGTACAACTTCAGGAGAGAGAGGCCTTTGAGAACAACTATTATACCAATGTTTCTTTGTGTAAAAAACTTATGCAAGAATTTGAAAATAGCAAACCACAGACAGCGCCACCCTCGTCCAATAGTAGTGACAAACCACACTCTAATTCTGTAAAATTACCTGAAATTAAGTTACCAACGTTTGATGGAAACGCTACCAATTGGTTGGAATTTAGGGATCAATTTGATGCCGTTGTTAATGACAGTAACATAAAACCTATATTAAAATTAAAATACCTACGAGGATGTCTGACCGGTTCCGCTCTTAACATAATATCTTCGTTGGCTATTGTGAAGAAAGCTATGCCATCGCTTGGCGATTACTCTGTGAGCGTTACAATAATCCCAAGGTACTAGTCACTAATCACTTGCGAGAACTCTTAAGTATTGAAACAATTCAATCAACGCCATCAGCTTTGAGAACATTAGTTGATAACCTGTCGAAGCATCTCAGAACCTTAAACAAGTTGACGGTTAACACAGAAAACTGGGATGTTATATTGATTTTCCTCTTGAGTTCTAAACTTGATAAATTCTTACACCGTAAATGGGAAGAAAAAACCAACTCACGTGAATTGCCTAATTTACAGGATTTCAAGTCTTTTCTGCGCGCTCAGGCTGACCTGCTGGAATCCCTGGGTTCTGACAGGCCGGATGAGCAACCGGAAGCGAATGGAACAAGGAAGGCCTTGGTGATCGCGTCCTCCCCGGGTCATGGTACATCTCCAAAACCATCCCCTAAACCTAAGGTATTTAGCAATCAATGCCCTTATTGTAAAGAGTCTCATTACATTCAATACTGCCCGAAGTTCTTGGCCCTAAATGTGACGTCACGCCTTCGCGCAGTCCGAAAAATAGGCCTTTGCATTAATTGTTTGGGAGCGAACCACATCGTAGCAAACTGCCGGGCGAGTCTTTGCCGAACCTGTAAAGGTAAACATCATACACTTTTACATATAGGAAATTCCCATCATGCTAATAACCAATCAAACAACCAAGGTCAACAGCAACCACTAACTACGTTGTACACTAACCCACAGCCCGCCACAAATACAACTCCAACATCACGTATTGAGAACCCACAACAATCGGTTAACTTGCATACCAGCCGTAATATTGTTTTAACACAACCATACCTACAACAAACTGTTTTCTTATCTACAGCATTGATTGATGTACTCGACGTCAATAATCACCAGTACACTTTGCGTGCACTTCTCGATTTGGGCTCACAATCCAACTTTATAACGGAGTCGGCTATTAAAAGGTTGAATTTAACTAGAAATAGTGTAAACATAGAGGTTTTACGTATTAACGAAAGAGTGACACAGATTAATCAAATTTTTAAACTGAAAAACCAATCAAAATGTGAACCATTTTCTACCAATTTGTCCTTCTTCATTGTGCCTTTTTTTTACATGGGGAAATGCCTACGCATACCCGCCTCACGGGGGCAAAGACGGGTTATGTCGGACTCGCACCGACTAAAACCCCCATGGTGTTCCACCTTTGTCGCATATTTGCAGGGCTACGGGAACGCTTTCGCACACATCCGCGGCCCTACTAGCGCCTGCTGCTCCATGGCAGCACCTCCTCAGGAGAGGAAAATTCCTCCCCGTTCTCCTTCCCAGGTAAGGCGCACCAGAACACATGGCGCGCCTTCCTTCACGGCCTCCAATTACGTCTGTGCAACAGATGCCCCCGCGTCCGATGCACAAAGGCCATGGGGCCAGGAAAAACGAGCACTTAGAAGTACTAGCCTTCCCGACCCCAGCGGCGGATCTGGTCTATGGCTCCGCCGCCAACCAAGATTCGGCTGCGGAGGGTAGGGAGAGCGGCGTCTCGCAATACCGACAATCCTCTCCCCCCGCAGCCCCACCACCACCGCATCAACGGTGCGGCCCCGTTTGAGTCGCGGAGGATAGGGCGAGTGGCGCATCGCCATACCAACACTCCTCTTCCTCCGCGACTCCACCTCGGCTGCAGTGGTGGGTGGTGAGGACACCCCTCTCGCCACAGTCCACCAACACACATCCGAAGTGGGCTCCCCAAGCCCACACGGAGTGGCCACCTCGGGCCAGCCTCGTGGGTTCCTCTTTGTTCTCCTCGGGCGACCAAGCCACGGCTACTAAGCCCCCCCGCCACGACAAGGCGGGAACCCGTTCGGGGGGGTTCTTCATTGTGCCTATGATTTGCAAACTGCCTTCTTATGTCGAAAGTGTAAAACAACTTAATATCCCACATAATTTTCGAATGGCAGACAAAACCTTTTATCAAGGCGGTGATATCGATATGATATTAGGTGTCGAGATATTTTATGATCTTTTGTCTAATAACCAGTATAGATTAGGCGTAGGGTTGCCAACTTTACAAAAAAAGAAAACACGATTGGGCTGGATCGTGTCGGGAACGGCCTATGTACCTTCTAGCCGTAGGGCTGTTAGATGCAATTTTGTTCAAACCAGGAACCCAAACTTTGGTGAACTTAGTAGTACAACAGAGTTTCCAGATGATGATATTGCTCAATGTGAAAAGGTATTTGAGACCCATTCACGCACACCTGATGGAAACTTTGTGGTAACCATTCCGTTAAAGGAACCCATTTCTTCGTTAGGTCATTCCAAACCCGCTGTCTTTAAACGTTTCAAATCGTTAGAATCCAAATTTTCTGGCGACCAAGGTTATAACGAAAAATATGTCAGGTTTATGCAAGAATTTGAACAATCAGGGCATATGATTAAACGAGACTCAAATGAGCCCTGTAACTACCTACCTCACCATGCTGTGGTTAACCTGGAAAAGGAAACCACACCCCTTAGAGTCGTAATAGATGCATCCCATAAAACCAGCTCAGAGAGATCCCTTAACGACATACAATATAAAGGTGCAATGAACCAGGACGAATTAATTAATATTATGATGAGATTTCGAAAACATAAATTTGTTATTTGCGCGGATATCGAAAAAATGTATCATATGATTTTTGTCAACCCTAACCAACACAACCTGCAATGTATCTTATGGCGCGAAGACCCTAATCACCCGCTGCACACCTACACACTAACTACACTCAGTTTCGGTTTGAAGTGCGCACCGTACCTTGCCACTCGATGTCTACAACAACTCGCGCATGAATTTCGGGAACAGTACCCGGAAGCGGCGACTGCAATATTAACCAATTTCTATATTGACGATTTAGTTCATAGTGGAGATGACGCTCAGAAGGTTGCCAAAACGGCTATTCAAATCGACAGAATATTACGGACCGGGAACTTCAAACTTAGAAAGTGGAAATCGAATTCGGAGGCCATTATAAAGATTGTTAATAAAACCGACGACACACACACTAGTTCACAAACATATGACTCGCAACACACTAGTACAAAACTACACGCAGAAAACCCACATAAGGTTTTAGGCCTACAGTGGTGTAACCAAAGCGACTTTATAACGTATTCGTTCATTGACAAACTGACTAATTATTCGTTAACCAAAAGGAAGGTATTATCTGTTGCCTCTGCAATATTTGATCCACTGGGTTTAATCGCACCAATTTTAATAACCGCGAAATGTTACGGTAAACGGTAACGTATTAGTGCGTTTATTATGCGCGCAAACGAGAATCGCTCGTGATGAAACTATACCTAGATTAGAGTTGACAGCGCGCGACATGTTATACTCCCGTTCGCTCGGGACCGTAATGGCGGCAAAATTTGAAAATTAGCAAATTTTTTTGCTATATTGCAAATTTTGCTATATTTTCACTTTGAGACAATATTTATGGATAAAACTTACAGGAATTCTTGTTGAATGTATAAACTATCGAATAAAATTATTTTTGGTTGCTAGAAATTGTAATAAAATACGTAAATTACCCTGTATAGCTGTATAGTGGTATGTACTTCAATTTTAGTGACAAAATTACTACTAATTTGAATTCTACACTTTTGTTTTTAGAGAAATTTATATGAAAATGTTTGGAAATATGTATATTTTTATGTTTTATGTGTTTCCATTCGTTACTCATACCAAAATATAAAATATAAAGAAATTAAAAAAATTAAATATTAATATTTTATCTGTGTGACATTTAGAACAATATTTCTAAAATAGTTTTGTGTGAATTTGAAATAAATACAACGTCAAGTTATTTGAAATATGTAAGAAAACTATTTTTACTTACATTTTACACTAAAAATAAATGAGAATGTGAAAAATACCACATTTATGACCCAGCCGCCATAATGGGCCTTCCAGATTTTGAAGCACTTTTGGCAATTTACTTTTCACTTTTTATACCACAAATTATATATATATGTGTTCACTATATTACAAGGAATATAAAAAGTATAATACTTTCGTTTTTAGTCCAGACACAAATATAAAATTCTATAAAAAAGACGGAGCACCTTTATCAAAACGGCACGTGGAACGCCGAAAGTTCAGAGTGATTTCTTTTTTTTTTTCTAAGATACATTGCCAGGTTATGGTTTAAAATAAAAGAGCATATCTTTGTCTTTGATACTAATATCTATTGCATAGTGTCTTTGGTTTTGTTTAAAACGAAAAAATAGTTTTTTCATAGGTAGACATGTTTACATAATTCTGATCTAATTCGATCACTACTTGGCGGGCGTAAGGTTGGTATTGCGCGATCGAAGGTGAGCTAGGCTTGGTTAACAGGTTAATGCACAAGGTTCGTCATGTTTTGGATCTTCAATCGTCCAAAATGTTTTTATGGTCCGATTCAAATATTGTATTGGCATGAATAAAGACAAATACGCCTTCCAAATTGATACCATTTGTAAAAAATCGAGTAATCGAAATTATAAATTACACCAAATCGGACGACTGGCATTGGGTTCCGTCCGCTGATAACCCAGCTGATCTTTTATCTAGGGGTGTTCCAGCGGCTAAGTTGGCACAGACAACCATGTGGTGGCAAGGCCCTACGTGGTTGTCACAACCTAATATTGATAACTGGCCGCCTCAGAATGAATGTAATTACCAACATAAGGTAGATATTATTTCTTGTGTTACTACGGAACCCCAATCACTTTCATTCATGGAAAAATTGTTTAAAAATACTCAACATATGAAAGGTTGTTACGAGTTTTTGCCTATGTACTTAGATTCTTAAATAATGTAAAAAACAAGGACAAATGTTTAGGTGTCCTCTCGGTTGAGGAGTTGAAACAATCTCACGATAAACTTATCATGTTAGCTCAGAGCGAATCCTTTCCAAATGAATATCTCACATTAAAGAAAGACAAACCACTGCCACAGACGTTAAATATATTATGCCTAAAACCTTATATGGAAAATGGTCTACTACGAGTGGGTGGACGCATTGAAAACTCTCCATATTCTCACGATAAGAAACACCCTATATTGTTACATAACCGACACATACTTACCAAGCTTATAGTTCAGTCATACCACATAAAGCTCATGCATGCTGGGCCGCAGTTACTTCTGGCATCGATTCGCGAACGCTACTGGCCTATCCATGATAAGAGTTTAGTAAATAAGGTGACACGCGAATGCGTCACGTGCTTTAGGGCCAAACCCAGGCCTAGCGCCCCAATTATGGGTGAACTGCCCGCATCTCGCGTTACCCCCTCCCTTCCGTTTTCAACAACAGGGGTAGATTATGCAGGGCCATTTAATTTGAAGACCTGGAGAGGACGTGGGGCCAGGACTTACAAGGCGTATGTCGCATTGTTTGTTTGTTTTGCTACCAAGGCAATTCACATTGAGTTGGTTACAGGTCTTGACACCCAGTCGTTCTTAGCTGCCTTCCGAAGGTTCGTCTCCCGTAGAGGTAAACCACAGCAAATGGTGAGTGACAATGGTACCACATTCCAGGGCGCTAGCAACCAGATAAATAAAATCTACCAATTTTTAAGGGACAGTTCAGACGAAATTATGACCTCACTTAGTAACGACGGCATGAAATGGAGCTTTTTACCGGTCTACACACCGCACATGGGCGGGATATACGAAGCTGCTGTAAAAAGTTGTAAATATTTTCTAAAAAGAGTTTTAGCTGCAGCACTTCTGACTTATGAAGAATTTGTAACAGTACTTATACAGGTGGAAGGAATTTTAAATTCACGACCATTGTGTCCCTTGTCTAATACAGATATTAATGACTTTTCCGCATTAACACCAGCTCACTTCTTGATAGGTAGGGCTATAACCACCGTTCCCGACTATGAGTACAAGGATGTTCCCGCCCACAGGCTCACGCTGTTCCAGCAGCTACAGCAGCTTCAACAGGACTTCTGGCGAAGATGGTCTCGCGACTACATCGGGATCCTACAACAACGTACCAAGTGGCGGAGCTCGAAGGGCCCAGCTCTCTCCGTGGGCACGATGGTGGTGGTGAAGGATGACCGTCTCCCTCCCTGCCAGTGGAAGCTGGGACGAATCAGAAAAACCCATGACGGACGTGATAGTGTGGCTAGAGTCGCGACAGTGTTAACTTCCAAAGGCGAAATAAAAAAGATCATATGTTCATCTATGTCCACTACCAATTAATATAGATTAACTATAATGTTAATAAAAAGATACCTTGTACTTCAGATAGGCATTTAACTTAAGTTGAATTGGATGTTAAGTAAATTAATTAGCCTAACTACCTAGCGTTTTAGATTTCTGTATTTTTAATTGGTCTGTTCGGTGCAATCTAAGCTTAACCCATTAGCAGTCGCATTATATTTTTGTTAAATTTAATCAATAATGTAGCTTTGGCAAACGTTTACCTATCTGGTTTCTCTTCCTTATTTATTTCTACTCTGTTTTGATTCGCGGTTCAAGTCCGCGATTGTTATTTATAGTTTTTGGGTTTGGCCTCTAATGGGTTAAAGTTAGTTTACTTTTTTAGCCTAACATGCTGCCATTTAGCTTGTTCACAACATAAATAATGTATCAGCCTACTTGAGTTAGATTTATGCTGGCTGGCAGAATGTTAGTAGTTAGTGGTTCCATCTGTTGGAAGCTGAAACCAACTACTAACAACATATTTCCTTATTACACATCTGTACGAACCAGGTGACTCTTTCTTGTGGTCCCACTCGTTTCGAACAGATGGCGCTTTACTGACAACTGTAATGTAAGTACCTAGTTTAACTTGTTGCCACGAGAGGGCATCTCTTATTATATGTATGAAAAGAACAGTGTTCTAGATTTTGCGAGTAGTCGTCCATGGATAGCAGAATACACGATACGACAATAAAATCACGAGTTTCCCTGCGCATCCTCAATAATTTTATACACTAAGTACAATAAATTCTGTTAATTATTTACCACTTTTCGAATTTTTAATTGCGAGAGCGTCACAGTTTCGTGGCTTCCAGTTTATAAAAAAGTAAAGTACTCTGTGTTCGTGTTCGTGGCGTTCCGCTTTGTTTCCTTGAACGCGTATTTATAGTTTATAGCTTTATATTATACTATGGTATATTATCTATGCGCGGGGATAAGTTTATCTACTGTCGATATTGTTACGAGCTTGAGGTTCGTGACAATAAAAATTGCCGATAAAATTACCAAAATTAACACTTTAATTTACTTTACACAAATTAAAACTTAAAACACTAATAATTAAACACACTAATTCACTTTATTCCGCTCCGAAGCTTCGCTTGTCTCGCCAAATCAACACTACTCCTCGATCGCATCTTGCAGCGCCTATTTATTTAAATTAGCAAAGAAGCATCCGGAATATTCAAGTAAATGCGCGCAAAGGGACGAGTGTGCGAGTGTAGATTTTCTAGAAACTTAGTTCTTCGGATGGCGCTGTCGCTCTCGTTCCTGACACTAGATGGCACTAGTTGACTTATTCACGCAACACTGCCCCCTCCTAAGACATGCTCGTCCCGTGCATTATCGGTCCCATAATAACGCGCCAAGCGATCCACATGGACGATCTTAGGAGTCCCTCTTGCGCCTTTCTGTATCCGGTGGGTCACATCGTTGATCCTGGTTACAATCCGGTACGGGCCGTCCCATTTAGCTTGAAGCTTAGGAGATTTCCCTTTGCTGCGGACTGGATTGTGCAACCACACTAATGAACCTTCGTTGAACCCTTTATTGTTCATTTTGCGGTCGTACCGGGTTTTCATTTTCTCAGACATTTGCTGGCCCGATTGTCTGACGTGCTCATAAATGTCATTCATTTTGTTCCGCAAGTCATTTGCATAATCGGTTATACAGCGTGGCGCATCAGGTGGTATCCCGGTGATCAGGTCTGCAGGCAGCCGTAATTCTCTTCCAAAGTTTGCGAAAGCTGGTGTCACTGCTGTACTTTCGTGAACAGAACTTCGATATGACAACAAAAACGGTTGTATGTGCTTGTCCCAATCTCGTTGCCGATTGTCTACAACTTTTGCTAGGTACCTCTCTAATGTCTGATTAAATCGTTCCACCATTCCATCAGATTGCGGGTGATAAGAAGTCGTTCTTGTTTTATGAGTACCCATAACTCGGCAAGTTTCCTGGAATATTTGAGACTCAAAATTCCTTCCTTGATCGCTGTGAATCTCTAAAGGTACTCCAAAACGACAGAAGACTTCATGAACTAGTTGATCTGCAACTGTTGAGGCTTCTTGATTTGGAATGGCGAAGACTTCTGGCCACTTAGTGAAGTAATCCATCACAAACATGAAATACTTGTTACCGCTTTCACTGTCCGGAAACGGCCCCGCCACGTCAACGGCTATTCTCTCCCATGGTGCACCACATTGTACAACTTCAATGCACCTCTACTACGAGTCTGAGGTCCCTTTACAGCCGCACAACTTGTACATTTGCGACACCAGTCCTCGACATCGTTTCGACAGTGGACCCAATAAAACCGTTCTCGGATCTTCAGTAGAGTTCGTTTAACTCCCAGATGGCCTCCGGAACAATCATTATGGTACAAATGTAGAACATCCGGTACTTTAGTTTTAGGGACAACCATTTGCAAATGACAGCTGTCTCCCCTAACATTTTCCCATTTACGGCACAGAACTCCATCCTGAAGCAGCAAGCTGTCCCACTGGGCCCAATAGCTTTTAGTGTTCGAACTCATTGCTGAGACGTCGCTCCACTTAGGCTTGGGAGCACTGGCCTTTATCCATTCCAGAATCGGCTTGATGTCCGGATCTTCCTGCTGTGCATTTCGTAAGCTGTCCTTCCATTCGTTGCTGAGGTGGTCCGTCCTGAGCATCCTCACGGATACCTCTTCCTTACTCTCTTGCCTAGTACAATGGTTGCAATCTTCAGGACAAGGTCCTCTTGACAATGCATCTGCGTTGCCGTGAGATTTTCCGCTGCGATGTTCGATCTCAAAGTCGTATTCCTGCAGAAGTTCAATCCACCTCGCAACTTGTCCTTCTGGATTTTTAAACTGCAATAGCCATTTTAGTGCAGCATGGTCAGTTCGTAAGTGAAATTTTCGTCCCAGAAGATATTTGCTAAAATGCTGCAACGACTTTACCACAGCGAGCAATTCACGTCTTGTGACACAATAGTTCCTTTCCGGTTTTGAAAACGACTTGCTGAAGTACGCTACCACGACCTCTTGGTCACCATTCCGTTGAGACAACACACCGCCAAGTCCTATATCACTTGCGTCTGCGTCAACTATAAATTCTTTGCTTGCATCAGGGTATCCCAAAATAGGTGTTTTGCACAGACGGTCCTTGAGCTCCTGGAATGCGATATTGCAACTTTCATCCCAGCAGAAAAGTCGCTTCTCCTCGGTTAACTTATGCAGAGGTTTGGCTATATCTGCAAAGTTCTTCACAAATCGCCGGTAATAGGAGCACAAACCCAAAAATGCTCTAACCTGTGTCTTGTCTTTTGGAACCGGCCAATTCTTGACAGGTGCGATTTTCTCCGGATCCGTGCGGATACCTTCTTCCGACACTACATACCCTAAAAAGTTGACTTGCCGTTCGAATAGTGAACATTTCTTCGGACTCAACTTGAGGTTGACACTCTGAATCTTCATGAGCACGCGTTCCAGGTTTTGAAGGTGTTCATCAAACATACGGCCCACGATGATGATGTCATCCAAGTAGACCAGACAGGCATCGCCAATTAGCCCGGTAAGTACAAGTTCCATCAGCCTTTCAAACGTTGCTGGAACATTGCACAACCCAAACGGCATTACTTTAAATTGCCACAGACCCTTTCCCGTCGAGAACGCAGTTTTCTCCTTGTCCTTAGGGTCAATTTCAACTTGCCAGTAGCCACTTTTTAGATCCAGCGTGCTAAACCACTTTACTCCTGTAAGCATGTCCAGCGTGTCATCAATTCTTGGCAAGGGATAGCTGTCCTTCTTCGTAACGTCGTTCGGACGGCGGTAGTCAACACAAAACCGCATGCTGCCATCCTTCTTCTTCATCAGCACCACTGGTGAATACCACGGACTAGAGGAAGGTTCAGTAACACCATCCTTCACCATTCCTTCAATCATGGTTTCCACTTCCTTTTCACGTGCTACCGGCAATCTTCTTGGCCGTTGACGGATAGGCAATTCTTCTCCTGTGTTTATTTTGTGTTGAACTAAGCTAGTCTTTCCTATGTCAGCATCTTTTTTTTTTTATAGAAGAGGGGGAAAACGAGCATGTGGCTCACCTGATGTTAAGTGACTACCGCCGCCCATGATCAACCGCAACACCAGGGGAATTGCAGGTGCGTTGCCGGCCCTTTAGAAAGGAGTAAGCTCTTTTCTTGAAGGTCCCCAGGTCGTATCGGTCCGGAAAAATCACCGGTGGTAAATTATTCCACAGAGAGGTTGTACGCGGAAGAAAACTCCTTTTGAAACGTACAGTGGTGGACCGCCAAGCATCCAGATGGTGTGGATGGTATCGGGACGTTTGCCGTGTAGTGCGTTCACGAAATTTGGCGGCTGGGATTAATCCGAACAATTCCTCAGAGCACTCCCCGTGATAGATGCGATAAAATACGCAAAGAGATGCAACATCTCTTCGCAGCGCCAGTGAATCGAGCCGATCGGAAAGCACTCGGTCGTCGACGATTCGAGCCGCTCTGCGCTGGATGTGGTCAAGTGGAAGGAGCTGGTACTGGGGAGCCCCAGCCCAGAGATGGGAACAGTATTCCATGAGCGGCCGAACCTGCGCCTTGTAAAGTTGCAGGCGGTGTGCCGGCATGAAATACTGTCCCGCTCTGCTGAGCACGCCAAGCTTTTTAGAGGCCAATTTGGCCTTCCCTTCCAAGTGACCACGAAACTGCACGTCACTCGATATGTCGACGCCGAGGATTCCGATACTGGCTGAGGCAACAAGGGGAGTGCCTTGAAACTGAGGGGATACGACAAAGGGGTTCTTTTTAGCGGTTAACGCGCAAACTTGTGTCTTCTGGGGGTTAAACTGGACTAGATTTA